CTGAGGTGTAGAGAAGGGTTTCTGTGAAGTTTTAAGCATAAGAAATACTTTTCTTCCTAACAGCTCTGGATTTCTGCACAGTATGAGACCACAGCTTGGGAAGCTTTTCTGTCTACCTTGTTTTTCAGTTTTCACTAGGGAATTCTCAGATACTGTGTTCTTCAGTTGAGTATTTATATCCTGTTTTGAAATGCTGAGTGGAGAGCATCTACTTGTTTCTACATGTTTCTTTTAGGGGAACCGAAAGGTCAGGTCCTGAGCTTTAGGGCTACCGCAGCTATTAAAAGGGGTAATAATTGTCCTCCCCTTCCTGTCTGCAGAGAATGGAGGTATTTCTGGAATTGCAGTGCAATAACAAAAGGACCACAGCTGTATACTTTTTTTTTTTCTTTTGGTCTCCCTCAGTGGAGGGATAGACCCCGATAGCTTTGCTCGTTTCTTGGGACCAGCACTGAGCTTGGTGCCTGGCACAGAGCCATAGGTGCTCAGAGGTTGTTGGTCGTCTGGTTGATTGTCGTGTTAGATAGAAGTAGCCCCAGTATCAGTGTGGTGTTGCTGGTGTAATCCATTTGCATTCCCACATCCACAGCCCGCAGTCTGGTTCAGGGGAGTTGATGCCTGAAGAGAACCCATGCGCAGACCACAGTCTGTTTCCAAGGTGAAGGACTTGGGCCCCATCTGCCTGGTCTTTCCAGGCACCGGAAGTCCCCAGCTCTATCCCACACAGTGCTTAGCAGGGGCAACATAGATTATGTGTCTCATCCATTGTCACCTCTGCCCTGGCCCCATGGCCCAATGCGGAGCTGTGAAAATACCTGCTTTCTCGACGGTTTTTGTCACACCTGTTTTACTTGCTGACAAAGTTTGTGGGTTTCTGCTGCCACAAAACCTGTGTTAAACTCTTTGTTCTCTCCAGTAGCTAATTAAAAAAATACAAAAACAATTTTTCCCCCTTAACCACACACCCAGACTCCATCAGGCTGTCCATCCTCAGTGCAGAAAAAGCCATGCCTCCAAGTCCTGCACTGTCTACATGAGCCACCTGGTCAGGAAGGAGCACCTGGGCCAGACCAATTTCCATGCATTCTATAAACATTTGTTAAGCGGCTATAAGGGACCAGAAAATTCCCACACTGTTCTCTCCCTCAAGCCATTTACAGTCATGCCAACAAGAATCTACCTTTGTTACTGCCCTGTTTTCTTAACTTCCAGAACCTGTTTTTACAGTAGGCTTACCAGTTAAACGCAATAGGATTCTAACTTCCCTTAGAATATTTTCCACGAGCCACTACTATTAATCTGAGAACTATTTATTCACTGCCTACAGTGTGTCAGGTGGGCCCCAAAGCCCCCAAACAGACTTGTCCAGAAAAGCAGTTCCACTGATGACCAAGGCACTCCTTATTAATCCACCTCTCTCTGCTCCCTCCGTGTTCAGAGTCATGAGCTGAAGTCTCTGCCCAGCTTGTGACCTGGAGGCCACCTCCACTCCCTGTGGGTAGTCTGGGCAGGATTGCATCACACGGCAGTCAGCCTCTGTGTGCGTGGCCGTCTCAGGACATCACAAGGACCTGGGGTGTGGCCGGGGGAGGGAGAGGCCGTGTGCTCTCAGAAGGGACCCTGAACTGAAAAATAGGAAACTTGCAGACTCAGTAATGACACTGGTTAGGCCTTGGCCCCACTTTTTCCTCCTAACCCAACGGGAACTCGTGAGAGCCACTGGAGGGAATTGATGTGAGATAGCCTGGAGATCTGGGGACTGAAATTACCACGTATACATAGGAGGTAACATAGTTTCAAGCGAGTGCCCATCCCTTTGGGCAAAATGATACCTGGAGAGAAACGTTATACCCTGACGCCCATCGGTGTCAGCATCACCTGGGAACGTGTTAGAAATGCCATGTCTCGGCCCCTCCCAGACCAACCGAATGAGAGCTTCAGAAGGTGGGGCCCAACTTGGTGTGTAACTAGCCTTCCAGGTGATCATGACACTAAAACCTGAGAACCACTGGCCCAGACTCTCCCTCTGATTCTGGAACTTAGGGTTTAGGTATTTTTGTTTTGACAGATGGCTATAAGGTGACTTTTGACCTTTTTTCTTGGTTGAAGCCAGCTGCCCTGCTGGAGAGAAAGGAAACACCGTATCCCCAGAGTTTGTAGGAAAAAGGGAAAAAGCCTGTGTTACTGGTTATTTTTGAAGGTGCCCGGAGAACTTGTCCAGGAGCTTGTTAAGAAGTATGCAGGCCTGGGGGCGCCTGGGTGGCTCAGCGGGTTAAGCCGCTGCCTTCGGCTCAGGTCATGATCTCAGGGTCCTGGGATCGAGCCCCGCATCGGGCTCTCTGCTCAGCAGAGAGCCTGCTTCCTCCTCTCTCTCTGCCTGCCTCTCTGCCTGCTTGTGATCTCTCTCTGTCAAATAAATAAATAAATAAATAATCTTTAAAAAGAAGTATGCAGGCCTGCAAAAATCTGCTCTCCCCTCCCACAAAGGTACTGTTGTGTCTGCTTCACCTCCTGCCCCAGGGCCTGCGCTCCTCGTCCTTAAAAGGAGCAGTGGGTGCCACATTCATTCTTTCTGGTGCCAGGTCTGTGCTGTTTCACTTCACCGGCGTCAAGTGGTTGCTTAATGAGAGGCTGTGACGCAGGCCAGCACACTTGAGAGAAAGCAGCCTCAGTCTGTGCTTTCTGCAGCTCTGCTCCACTCCCTGCTTTCCCAACCTCGGGGTCTCCCCTCAGTGAAGTTGTGGTCACCCCGGGGGCAGCCCTCGCTCAGAAGAGCTGCTTGCTGGGGTCTGTGGGTGCTGATAAGTGACTGGAAAGGCAGAGTGAAGTTGTATCTTTAGTTTCTCCTATTCCCTTGACCCCCCCTTCCCAACCTTGTCCCCAAAATAAGAAGACATAGATAGCCACATGGGGATTATAGCTATTTCCTTTGTGGGTTTTTCTTTCCTTTTTTTTTTTTTTTTTTTTTTTTTGGTGGGGTGGCGGTGGCTAGTACCATCTTTCCCTGTTATTCCTGTCCCTGAGGCCAGGATCAGGGCTGGAGTTGACTGATGGTCAAACCCTCCAAACGTGTGCCTTGCGAGATAGCTAGGGATTCCCCAGTTACCTGTCCCTTGACCATAAGAAAATACAGTCATGCTGCTCCTTTGGAGAAAACAAAAACAAAAACAAAAACTTAACTCTGGGAGGCATAGAGCAAACCCTACAAGGGAGTTTTAATTCTGGGGAAAATAATAGGCAAAGACCGTGGTGGGAGTCCATGAAATTACCACTGACATTAACGGAAGAAAAGAGGAAACTCTTGAGTTATGAAAGTCGGTGCATGGAGTTAAAGGAAATGCTGAGGGCAAAGAACACCCCAGTAAGAGCAGGGTCCCTATGTGAGTCTCTTTAACTCCAGTCGACTCCCCCAGGTGACCTTCCTTTAAGAAGGTCACTTCCCTGGAAGGCTGAGTAAACTTTACAGACCATCCCTTATTTCCTTGAAGTGTACTGACCCCAGTGAAGGTGAGGCCAAAAAAGGAGGTAAAGGAGAAAATCGAAAACAAAGTAGACAGAGATCAAACCAAACAGCTACTTCATTTATTCAACACATTTGACTGAGTGCCAGGCTTCTGTTTCTACATTGCCTACTTAGTGAGCCAGGCATGTTTTGCATACTCTTTAATTTGTTTTTATAACCCTTCAGGGTTGTTACTGGCCCCATTTTGCAGCTAAGAAAACTGAGGCTTGGGGAGGTTAAACTTGATCAAGGTCACCCAGCTAGCCGCTGACAGACGTAGGTTAAGATTCAGTGTGTTGGACTCCAAGGCCTATGTAGGTTCCACTCTACCATGCTGCCAGTCCTCCAAAAACATACCTCCCTTGCAATCTGGTCTGCTGCTCCCTTCTGCCCAGGTGCTAGGGGCTCAAGACAGAGCTAGCTTCTGCCCTTTCCGCCCTCCTGGTTATACGGCCTTAAGTAAAGCTATCATCTCCCTACTCCTCTTCGGGCAGCTTCCTTCTCTGTTCCTCCAGCTCTGTGCCTGGGTTCCTGAGAGCAATGTCTCATGAAAAACTCCCCACCTTTGAGGAGAGGCTTGTCGGTTGGAGAGGAGGTTCTAAGAGGAAATCTCCCAGCCAGGCCTTTCAACAAAGGAGCCAGGAGTTGCTACAGGCAGGCTTCATGATCCTGAGGTCTGTGGAGGGTGGTCCATGCTTTTCTCCTGCTCCATAGCTGGTTCCATCCGAAGGAAGGAGGGTGGCCACCATAGCTGCTGGTTCTCTTATCCTGAAGAAGTGCTCCCTCTTTTTTGAGAAAAGTTCAGTGATACTTGCCTGGCACTACAGTCTTCCTATAGGGAAGATGTCCTGGGCCAGTCTCTGCACTCTCCAACCCTTAGTGACTCCCAGGACATCCCGCAAGAGAAGCTCTCTTTCTTGATAGCCCTTCATAACCCAGCCTTCTCTCCTGCTTAGGTCGGGTTGTGAGGGCTGAACCAGAGCTCTGCCCCAAATCTATGTCCTCATCCCATAGTCAAACATACATTGGCCTATACTCTTGGTAGCGCTGGGGGGTTGGGGAGCAGAATTCAAATTCTTGACCATGATTATTTTTGGAGATCTCTGAATTCAAGGGCTCTGCCTGAATCTGCTTTTCCCCAGCTCCATCCTTTGGGAGTCATGGGTCAAGTCCAGGGTCATGCTCCAAATGTATCTATGGATGACTGGTGGGCAAGAGGCAAACTTGAGCTTGGAGTCATTCACCTTTACCTATTCCTATCTCACGGGAGTCTCCTTCCCATGTGCATAAGAATATTCCCAAGCCTTTTTAAAATTCCTCCAATCTGGGGCACCTGCGTGACTCAGTGGGTTAAGCCTCTGCCTTTGGCTCAGTTCATGATCTTAGGGTCCTGGGATCCAGCCCCGCCGGGCTCTCTGCTCAGCAGGGAGCCTGCTTCCCCCCCCCCCCCGCCTGCCTCTCTGCCTACCTGTGATCTCTCTGTGTCAAATAAATAAATAAAATCTTTTTTAAAAAAATTCCTCCAACCCCATACCAACCTCTTCCACCCCCTTCACCTCATCCCATTCCCAAGCAACTTCCTCACTCCCCACTACAGGAAGTTGGCATCACCCACTCACTGGCCTCTTAGAGTGTCTTCCCAGGTGCCTCAGCTTCCCACCCAACTCTGAAGCCAGGAAGCCCCCACCTGGCAGGGGCAGCCCTCACCAGGTCCCCGATAGAGCCAGCAATAAGTCCTCAGTCTGCCCCTGGCCCTCCATATATTCTAGCCCAAACCCTTCCTACTCAACCTGTGGTCCAAGAACGAGCAGCATAGGTATCTCCAGGAGCCTATTAGAAGTGCACATTTCTAGGCCCACCACAGACCTTACAGAATTAGAATCTGCATTACTCTGCACCTTAATGCGCAAGGAGCACACTGATCTGCTGAAAAGACACCCCCTACTCATGCTTCCTGAGTAGAAGGGGTGGAGGGCAGAGCAGGAGCCCGTGAGGAAGCTGTGACCCCACAGTTCAGCCCTCACTTTGACAGGACAACACTTGGGGATGATATAGACACTCCCTAGAGAAGCCAGAGAGGCTGGGGAGGCCCGGGACCCCCAGCAGGGAGGACGAGCCATGGCAGGGCCAAAGGGGAGGGGAGCAGGGGGGCCACATGGGGAGATTCATGGGTAGTGAGAGGGGAAGGGGCACCTGCCTTTTCAAGCAGAGGTGAGATGATTCTCTGGGCTCCTACCACCATCTCCAGCTCCTAGCAGGCTCTTACAGCCAAGAAAGTTGCCTGCTGTGCCGCCTAGATCTGCTGGATGCCTGGGTTTCTCCCTCCCTCTTGCTGGCAGAGTCACCATCGCCCACCGGCTGCACTGCTGCTGGTGGGTGCTCAGGAAATGTTTGTTGAATAGAGAGGAAGCCACAGCTTGTGTGGAGTCTGAATAATTCACCAGCCGTGGGCCTCAGGGGAGGGGAGGGAACGGAGACCAAGTAGGAAAGACAAGTTCCGAAGTTGTACTGAGCTAGATAGAGCCCCTTTCTCTGTCCCTTGTCTGAGTCCTTGCTTTGGTGTGCCGGTAGTGCAGGGGGATGGCGGGGAAGAGGAAGTAGGAGATGGCAGGAAATGGCCCTGGGCTGCCCTCTGCACCGACTCAATGCTGTCTTGATGGTATACTTGATGTCTGGCCTGGGTATGGGGGAGGGTATCCCTGATTCTGAACCCTCCCATCCTTCCGTGGGAGAAGAGGCTGTCCTCTCCCCACCCAACCCCAGGCTGTTTTAGAGAGGAGGCCTTCCCAGGGACTCTCTCTTTGGCGGAGGCTCTGCTCTTCTGTCTCCAGCTCAGTCCCTACCTGCTGTGGCCTCCCTTTCTTCGAGCCTCGGTCTTCTCTTGCAGAAAGGCCAGAGGCTGACAGCTGATGGCTGAGGTTCCCCTGGTTTCACCATCCTGGGAGTGTGGGGCTGTGAGTCACCTGGGTGCAAGGCAGAGGCAGGGGAAGGAGCCCAGGCCTAGACTGGGCCTGCTGGCTCCTGAGGCTGCCTACACCCAAGGAGCCAAAGCCACAGGTGGAAAGAGAAGCCAGGCCTCGGGGTGAGAGAGGCCTGGAGTGCCAGGTGCTGAGTGCATCTGAGCCTCACCTTGCCATGGCAGGGAAGAAGTTAGTGGTCCGGGTGGCAACAGACCCAAGACGGGGCTCACCAGTCTCAGAGACCAGGCGTGGCATAGGACTATACCAAGACCTTTACCTGCAGGTACAAACACACCTATACATGGTACATGCCTAGGGAATGTGCCCATGAGGTGTAAGGAAGGACAGCTCCTTGCCCTCCCAGTGTCCCCCCATGGAGAGTTTGCCCAGCTGTGCAGCCAGACAGCCACAAGCCACCTGCATCCACACACCCATCCCACGCCAGACTCCCGCCTGTGTTCTTCCCTCTTCCTCTCCCCAGCCTGGCCCCTGTGCTCCCAGGAGTTTTACTCAGCATCTTCCTGCAGGGCCAGGCCCTCCTGTCCTGCTTTTCATACCTCTTGTGCTCCTTGCCCTTTGGCCCATTCCTCTGGGCGGCCTGCTTCGTGGTGCCAAGGCCTGCTGGGCCCCAGCCTTGCCAGACCTGTCTTCTCTGGGCTCTAGGGGCCTTGCTTCTCCCTGTGGCTCGGAACTAGGCTGTACTTCTGGCTCAGCCTGGGTGTCATTACACCCCAGGATCTGCTCAGAACCATCTGGTGGTGGCGAGGACACTGGGTTCTCCTGGGCCCCAGGCCTTAGAGTGAGTGCACACATACTCTCCCCAGACCCAGGGCTACTGGCCCCTCCAAGAGAAAGGTCAAGGGGAACTAAGTCAGTGTTTTGTGGAGAGCTAGGGTTTGGACTGGCTATGGAGGCTCCTGATTCCCTTTTTGGGCCCCCTGGGGATCCTGGGGCTGGGCTAGTTGCTGGGGCACTTGTGCGTCGGCCCAGCTCCGTCGGGCTCTGCTCCTGTGAATGTTCCTCCTTGCTCCAGGTCTTTCTGGTACTTTGACTTCCCTGAAACAAAAGATTGGCCCTGCTGGCTGGCGGATTCAGAGCTCATGCCCCTGGCCCACCCCATCCTATTTCCAAGCACCCACCTCCTGGTTCTGCGGCTCCTCCTTGACTTCCTTCATTTCCCACCTGTAGAAACACAGCACGTGGCAAGCCCTACTCCCCCCCCCACCCCACCTCACGTCCCTCTGTCCCTCTGTAGCCAGTGGCCCATGTTCCCAGGAAGCAGCCAGAGCCACGGGTCTCAGAGGAGCCTCAGGGCCAGAAAAAGGCTCCAGGATGCTTCCCTTCCAGCCTGACCTTGTTCCCCATCCAGCCATTTCCTCCAAACGCCACCCACTTGAGTGCCATCCCAGGTCCCCAGCTACTGTTTATGGCTGAGCCTGCAGCACCGAGTTCCATGGGGGCTCTGGACGTGTCTCTGCCTGCACCGCCTGGGAAAGGCACGCCCGACTTCCCAGGGGAAGGCAACTACTGTAATTACTGCCGGCCTCCCTGGGCACCAGGCTCTCGTGGCTCCCGCCTTTGCGGCTGGCCTCTCCCCGAACCTCATTAACCTGCTTCCAGGCAGCCGTCAGGCCGAAGGCAGCAGCCCCAAGGGCTGGAGCAGCCACCTGGACCAGTGCTGAGCCTGACCTCCCAGGGCCAAGGGAGATCCAGGAAATCAGGGAGCCCAGATGCTTCCCCCAATTCTGCCCCCTGCCATCTGTTACCTGCGGGCCCTGCCGGTCAGCCTCTCTGTCCCCTGGGCTTTGCTTCGTGTGGCCGACACCACTGAGGGTCTGCTGGGTTGCCCACCCCGAGTAGTACCACCTGCAAGAGATGGTCCACAACTCAAGAAGGGAAGAGGGTCATGGCAGCCCAGCTCCGTCCCCAACTCATGCAAACCTGCTTCTTTTCTCTCAACTCACCTTTACCATCAAGGGACAGTGGTGGGGGTTGTGATTTCCGGTGGCTCCTGGGACCTAAGTGAGGCAAAGGAAATGGAGAAAGAGTGGGGTGATAAAGGATCAAAAGCAGTAACAGGAGTGTTCCAGGACCAGGAAGATGTCCATCTTTCTCTTGGTCCAGGAGTGGGTTTTCTGACTCCCAAAAAGATCCTGGGTCTGGGGATCAAGAGAGCTGGGTCTCTGTGCCCCCGTTGATGTTCCTGGCTAGGTAACTGGCTGAGTCTCTCCAGCCCCAGCTTCCTCACATGTAAAATTAGGGAACTAGCAATTCTAAAATCTCTGTTCCTCCAACAGGCCAGGGGCAGGGAAACTGGAGCTTTCGCCCATAAGGGACCAACCTTGAAAGGATCCCGGGGCAGATTTCCTTGTGAGCCTCCTCCCCTAGACCTTCTGAGGTCAGAACCCAGGGTAGGAGCTGTGGATTTAAGGGGTGGGAAGGTGCCCTGCTCTGATAATGAGGGAGAGGAAGTAAGATGTTCTTCCATGCCTCCTTCCAGCTCCAAAAATAAGTGCTATGCCAAGAGACAGAGAAAGGAGAGGAAGCATGAGGGGACAGGTGCGGGTGCTGTGATGAAAGCCAAGGAGGAGAAGGGGCTGGGGTGGGTATTGACTCACCCCTGGTGCCGCCCACCCTGGCCAGGCCCTCTTCCCGAGGCTTGCTGGAGTCCTGTAGCCTGTGGAGCCAGAAAGTCAGGCTTCTGTGGGGCAGACACAAGCTATAGCGAGACCCACACAACCCCTGCCTCCCCCAGCTCCAACCCTAGAACCGATGACAACAAGATAATGGTGAGCCCCCAAAAATGGGGACCCGGTGCCCACCCTCTCAGCCTAAGGTCCCACCAGAGAGCCCAGACACACCTTAACCACCCTGGAGAGGGTCCCACCAGCCCTCCAAAAAGCACCCACAGTTAGTCCTACCCCAAGCCCCATAAGCATGTCAATACAACGAGCTCCCTAGCCCTGCCACCCACGTGGGCTTGGTCTTGTTCAGGTCCCACGGCCGACGCCAGTCACCCTGTGCGTCTCTGTGCCTGGCCACACGAGCCAAGTCGATCTGTTCCCGCTCCTGCTTCCACTGGGTATAGTCCCAGCCCACCTCCAAGGGTCCCCCCATGGGCCAGTGAGGAACCGAGCCTGGGACCAGTCCTGGACTCTGGGACTCCCGAGTACCCTGAAGGAGAAGACAGAACCATGGGGAAGAAGCAGGAAGCCTTGGACCTGGAGTGAAAATCTGGATATTATCAGCCCCTTCCCCTCAAGGTTTTGACGTCCCCATCTAAAAATGAAATCCATTCCATCTCTGACATGTTCGTTTACCATAGGCACCGTTTCCAGTCACATGTTAGCTGTGTCTTTTGGGCAAGTTACTTAACCTCTCTGTGTATCATTTCCTTATCTATAGGATGGGGCTAATAATAGCACCTGTCTGCTGGGTTGTTGCAGATGTGTGTGTGTGTGGACAGGCCCGGAGTGGAGAAGCTCCCAGCAGCAGTGAGCAAGAGCCAGGACTAGGGGCTGCTGCCACCTAGAGGTCACACCTGGCACACGGCCCACCCCCAAGGCCCCCACATGCTTGCATCAGAAATCCAATTAGGGTAAGGGGCTGACTTCTGACGTACCCTGTCAGGGTAAGGCCCACCCAATGTGGAAACTGGCCAGAGAAAGGAAGAAAGGGTGGGAATTCTTGCTGGGGCTGCCTGGGCCATGTCCCCAGAGATAGGGGACACAAGTGACTCAGCTTCTCCGCCTCTCCCAAATGATGACTACCATTTTCATGTCCCCATCCCCTCTTAAAGATGTACTTTCCGTGCAGAATCCGAGCTGACGGGCATCTGCATGGAGGGGGTCTGGCCCAAGCCCCTTCCACGTGACTCTTCTGCGACCTGGTTCCTTGCTCTGCTGGGCTTCTCACTCACGATCCGCTTGGCCTGGGTGGGGAGGGGGGGAAGCGGGGACAGGCAGCGTGGCACAGTCTGGTAAGAAGAGGCTGCTGGTCTGATGCCCTGGCTTCCCCTGCCCAACCTGCTCACCTCGGCTTTGTTTTCCATGGTCACAGCCAGCTCCACCCGCTCCCCCAGACAGAAAGCACCAGTGTGGTCATCCCCTCCCTCATCCTCAAGCATCTCGTCAGCTGCTCCAGGTCTGAGGGGTCTTGCCCAGTTCCGGCTGACCACCCGCTTCCCCTGCAAAATGAGATGCCATGCCCTCAGACCACACGGTCAGGGCCAAGCAGGAGCTGGGGATGGAGTCCTTTGGAAGCTTCCCCAGGCTGGGTTCCAGCCCTGGCCCTCCCTGGAATGCCCACAGAGGAGCGGACTCCCTGGGGCATTCACATGCCGGTGCCACGAAGTTATCCAGGGACCGGGGCCACCCCAGGGCCCAAGATGCCACAACAGCCTGTCATCTCTGAGCTGGGAAACCCAGAGTGCTCGGACAATGGGACTTTGTCCCTTGCACTCTGTTCCTGGCATTCAGCCACCCTTCTCTGTCCCTCTAGGGTTGGGGGCTCAGGAGTGGCCTGGGATTTAGAACACAGGCGCAGGACTGTGGGTGGGGCCCTCCCTAACTTTCACATTCACCTGGAAAAGGGCTTGAGGAGGACTCGATTTGGTGGCCTTTCAGCTGTGGCCCTTTGGGGTCAGGGGAACCACAATGGGCTAGGCTGCCTCAGGCTGGGAGCTGAAGGGTGAACCCCAGAAGTGGAAGCAGAGGAAACAGAGGAGCAAGAGCAGTTTCCTTTTTGGACTTGGACATGGGCTGGGCCTCCACCTCCTTGCCACCCCACCCTCTCTTCCTGGGGTAGGGGAGGGGCTTACACCGGGAACCTGGCTGATAGTGACAGTGAGGCCATCAGGCTGGAGGAATTCTGCTGTGGTCACGGCCATGCCCCCCTGCTCGGCCTGCCGCCGGTCTTCCTGGATCTCCTGCGGGAGGGCCCTGGGTCAGCACAGGCCACGGCCCCCCAGATGCACACAGAAAGGCCTACACAGAGAGACACCAGTGGGACACCAGGGGGCAGAGGCACCACATCACAGCATCCCCGGGACCCTCACAGAGTTTCTGAGAGGGACCACACCACTGTACCTCGGACCCCAGGCTTAGCACCTGCAGGGAAAGACCACAGTGCGAGGGCGCGGGGGAGGTCAGGGGGTCAGACAGGCAGTGCCAACCCAGTCAGTCCTTCCAGCTTCCATCACAGCCCACTCACCTGGTACCTACGTAGTAAGGCCTGGTTCTTCTTTCGAAGGGCAACTATCCTCCGGTCCAGCTCGGCATCCTTCTCTTCCTGCCTGCTCATGGGTGACTCGGCTCTGTGAGGCCCCTGCGTCAAGCGGGGGTGGCAAGCTCCTGACTGTTGTGCCCGTCCCTTATCAGGCCCCTAACTTTCACATTTACCTGAGAAGCATCTTCTTACTACAAATGGACCCCAGCCCCAGAGCTAAGCTTCCAGGGGGAGATGGCACATGGAAGGCCCCAAGTCCCCACTCTGCTGGGCTTGTCCACCTGTCTCTGCCTCCTCAGAGGCTCAGGTCAGGGCCTTACTACCCTCCCCACCACCACCACCACCACCACCAGCACCCCCGCACCCACAGCTCCCAGCAATGGGCCACCCCTCCCCCGGGCTCTCCAGGGAGCTCCACCGCTGAGCAGAGCCTGGAATGAGAGTTATAAATGGCTCTGGCAGCGGAACCTGCGGGGACTGGGAAGTTGCCAGGGGATCCAGGAGGTCGGTGGGGGGCGGGGGGCTCTGTTTGGCTCCCAGGCCCAGAACCATAGTAAAAAGAGAGGCCCCGGCTCTGTGCTGGGCTCCCAGGCCCTGGGCTCCACTCCCTAGGCTTGTGCCCTGCCTGTGGGAAAGAGCCGCTCTCATGGGCCCAGTCTCTCCCGGCCTGGAACTGCTGGTAGTCAGGACAGAAGAGAGCCAGTTCCGTGTGCAGGCCCGGCCAGGGAGCCACCCAAGTAATCCAGGCCTCTGCCCCTAGATCCCAGGTCTTTCCCTGTCTGGCCGCAGGGTCTCCATTGCAGCCAAAGGCCCCTGCCCAGACCCCCAAAGGCCTAGGCACAGCCCTCTTCCTCCCAGGCCCAGCCGTCCCCAGCTGTCCCCAGAGTGTGACCGCCTGGTGTCCCAGCCTCCTCCCAGCCCCAAGAAGCCCCCCGCCGAAGGTGAGGTGCCACTCACAGCTGAGTGCATGGTAACAGTGGGCACCGAGAGAATTCCAGAACAGCCCCAGGGGAGCCAGAGCAGGAGGGAAGCCGGAGCTGCAGAGCCACGGGAGCCGGAGCCGGGGCCTTTGCCGGCCTCTCCCTGCCGGCCTCACTGCTCAGCACACGAGATCATGTTGTGATTACAAAAGACTCCTCTGGGCTCCCAGCCAGGAATGCGCGCCGCCACCCCCACCCATCCACTCTCAGAGGGCAAGGACCAGGGCGCCGGCCCTGCCCAGCTCCTCTCCCAGCCCTGGCCCAGCGTCCCCAGAGACACAGGCAGGAACCCCTCTCTGTCGGGTTGACCCCACACAGGGGGTCTGGCTGCCCCAGGCCCTGCCTTCTCTGAGGCTGTTCACCCAGCAGAGCCCCAGCCTGGACCTACCTGCCAATGCACAGGCAGCCAACATAAGCCTCCATCTCTCCCAACAGTAAAGAAAGGCCTGGGGGATGCAGCTGAGCCCACCAGCTGTCCTAGTCTGAGGGCCCACACCTCAAATGAGCCCCCCTTTACTGTCCTCATCAGCTCTGGTTTAACTCATTTGGAGGGATCAAGAAGCTTACCTCCCCTAGGCCACCAAATACAACTACATACCTGAAATGACACCATTAGTCATTCCTGGAGGTAGAACACTGGCTTCCCTGTGTTTTAAAGCACAGCCACTTCTGAGAGGCTCAGGGGTTCGAGTCTCCCCTCGGTGTGTGGGGAACTGGCCCTTCCTGCAGGGCCCATACCACTGCAGCTTGGGGTCTGCCTACAGCCTTCCCCACCCAGGTTCCTCACTCCGGGCCCTTCCTGGCCTTGGTCCCCACAGCTGACTTTTAAGCCTCTCCCACCCTGAGAAAAGAAGCAGGCTTTCTCAAGAAAATCTCTCCCCAAATCTTCCCAGTACAGCTGAGGCTGGTCCCAGTGCCCAGGGGAGCAGCTGGCCTGGCCGTCCCACTCGTGGAGCCTCCAGGAGCTGGGGCTTGGGGTAATGGGGGGGGTCTCTGGATCAGGGGTACCTGTGGTCTCCTTCAATAGCTACAGGGCCCCAACCTCTAAGCCCTAAAGGGAGGGTCAGAGATTCTCTGCATCCCCCACATCCCACCTGACCAAGCCTCAGTTTCCCTAATTCCAGCCCCACTGCCCTCTCTCTCCTCCCCAGACCAGCCTAGTCAGCCAGCATTTCAATCTCTGTTCCCCTTGAACCCTGTCTTCCTGCCCTCCTCCCATTCCCACCACGGTTAGCCTCTTTCCTGGACAGGCCTTCACATAGTACCCCTGACCCCACAGCCAGTCTCCACAGCCCCAAAGTTCCCATCCTGCTTGGAAATGCCATCACGCTCTCTCTTCCTTTCCTGCCGGATGTTCTCACTGAGTCAAACTCCCAGCAATGGTGACACACCCAGGCTCCTCTCCCCGAACGGATCTCTCTCTCTCTCTCTTTGCTTCTGTCCTTCTCTGGGCACTGCCTCAAACAGGCTGCTGAGTTCCAGCCTAGCCCCAGAAGGCCAGAGGCAGGGCCCTCCTGGGCCCCACAGTCGCTGGCCCCACCCTTCCCAAGTGTCGCTGGTGGCAGCCCAGCTTCCCACCGCCTCCCCCGCACTGTGGTATTGGAACTGGGAGGCCTGCCCAGCACCAGCCTGGGATGGAGAGATCCACCTGCTGAGACCTAATGTTCTCCATCATCTCTGGAACCCAGGCTCCCAAACCAGGTCTGGGGCAGTGGGGTGTAGCTAGAGGAGGCTACGAGGGGCAGGTGGGTGGGTAGGCTAGGTCAGCTGCGCCTCTCACTCCTGTTCCCAGCCAGAGTTGGGGTGGGACAGCTGCAGGGGAACAGGAGGCCTGGGTAGCAATCCAGCCGTCCCATAGGGAGGGCAACCCAGCTCTTCTGGGAGGGCCTGAAGGGAGAGACTCTCCTAACCCAGTGACAAAGGCCTCTGGGCCCCTCAGGCTGCAGGCCCATGTGCCCAGGACAAACCATTGACCAGATAGGACCCCGCAATCACTGGCCCCACCCTTCCCAAGTGTCACACAATATGTCAGACCTCAGAGCAGCCCCGACATTGTCCTGTATTCTCCAGAGTCCGAGATGTGTTTATCTGATCCCCCACTGGACAGAAGCTCTCTGAGGGCAAAAATGGTGTGCCAAGTGCCCCCAGATCCCCAGGGCCTGGCACAGTGCCTTCTAAACCCCAGACTCTGGTGTGCTTGGGTGGCTCAGTTGGTTAACCGTCTGCCTTCTGCTCAGATCATGATCTCAGGGTTCTGAGAACGAGTGCCACATAGGGCTCTTCGCTCAGTGGAGAGTCTGCTTCTCCCTCTCTCTGCCCCCACCCCTGCTTGGGTGCTCTCTCTACCTCAAATAAATAAATAAAATCCTTAAAAAAAAAATAGGGGCACCTGGGTGGCTCAGTTGTTAAGTGTTGCCTTTGGCTAAAGTCATAATCCCACGGTCCAGGGTTCGAGCTCTGCATCGGGCTCTTTGCTCAGCGGAAAGCCTGCTTCTCCCTCTCCCACTCCCCCTGATTGTGTTCCCTCTTTCACCATCTCTCTCTGTGTCAAATAAATAAACTCTTTAAAAATAATAATAAATAAATCAATAAAAATAAAATAAACCACACATCCTCCCTCAGCGCTTGCAGAGCAAATATATGCGTGAATAAGCCATTCTGTCCTGTGCAGGCCCGTGGGTATCCTATGGGTATGTCTTTCTCTAACCAGAATGCACGCAGCCCTGAGAGAGGCCATAGGCTGTAAAGGGCCTTACAAAGTGTAGAGGACCCTTGTCTGGGGGAGGAAGGGAGAGACCATGTGTCTGTTACTCCCTGTCACCACTAGAGGACAGCAGAGTCACAAAGCCTGGGGCGGTGGGGGCGCTCCTCCCCTTCCCTCTTGCTCCCGGGCTCCTCTCTGAGTCTCTACAATCCGCAGAGGAGAAAACTCCCAGCTCTGCCAGACTAGAGAAGCCTCATTATTGATGAGGAGGCCCAGAGAGGCAGCACCACCGCCCAGGGCACACAAGCCCTTTGGGTCATACATGAGACAAGAATCCAAGGCTCCTGCTGTCCTGCGAAGCACTCTCCTCCCCCTCCCCACCCCCAGGCTTCCCCCAAAATTGCTGTTTCCACTGCAACTTCTCTCCGAGCCCTTGTCCTCTCTGCCCTGAGGGGAGGCATGGTCCTAGCACCTCAGCCATGGGTCTGGGTCCCATCTTTTCCCTGACTGGTCTCCCACCCCCTCAGGTGGCCTGCCAGCTGCACCCACAACCCCCACACTTGGAGTGGACCATATCAGGGTGCCATTTGTGGTCTGTGGTATACAGACCCGGAGCTCATCCTGAGGGCAAGATGGCAGCAAGTCCGGGAATCTTCACTGAGGAGGAAAGGGGAGAGAGGTCTGCAGGGGAGGAAGGGACTGTCGGGACCACACACAGAGACTGGGAGCACAGACCTGACAGAGGCCTTGTTCACTGCTTCCAGAATGGCTGCCCCTACCCGTGCCTGAGTAATAACATTTAAGCACTCCGGCCCTTGCCCTCCCTCAAGCTCGTCATAAGATGAGGCAGAGGGGGCTAGGGGAGTTCAGATTAACTTCACCCTCACTGGCTGTGTAGGTCCCTTATCTCTCTGGTCCTCATCCGGAAAATGAGGTGTACCTACTCCTCCAAGTCATTGGCAGATGAAATGAAATAACAGTGATATCCATCTCCAGAACAACATGCAACCCAGAGTGGAGTTCAACCTAGTTTTCTTCTTGCCTCAGGTAACCATGAGAGCTACCTTCTGGATGCTACCACTGCAGCATCCTTTGAGGGGCCCCAAAGACTGCCTCCTGCAAGCCTGCTGGGATCTGCACACATCTAAGCCCTCTGAGGTATGAGGCCCACTTGTAACCAGGTGGGGAGACCCTGAAGCACTCCGTCAGCCTCTCTGAGCCTCCCTTCATGCTGACCCCAGCCACAAAGCCTGCACAGCCAGGTTCCTGCCCCACCCCGACTGCCCTCCTCCTCCGTGCCTGTCCCCTCTGAAGTCCCAGGCTCCGGCGGCCATCTCTGGCCAGCTAGTGCTGGTGCTTCTGGAGCACCTCCTGTGCTTCACCTGCCTCTGTTCCAGCAGGAGAACAGGAGGGCCCAGTTCCGGGTTCGCCTCCCAGCACCCAGGAACGATTCCCAGCTGGGCAGAGCACTTAGAAGTCACCGGTATCACCTTCAGCTCTGGGTGTGTGGATGAGTGTTGAGGAGGACAGGCCAGGCTGGATCATGTGAGCACCCAGAAAATAGGCAGGCAACCCGCCAAATGGAAAAGGTCCAGAGGGTGGCTTAAAGGTTTTCTTTCCTGTAAACCCAGTCCCCCTTAGGGTCAAGAAATTGCTGTCCTGACTCCTCCTGACCTGAAGTCTGTGCAAGCCTCTCAGGGCAGGCCAAGCCTATGCCTGAGTGGGGAGGACTCAAAAGTACATGAGGTAGGGCTGGAGGGACAAGGCCTGGCCAGGCTCCAGTCACCGGGAACAGTCTGGGCCTCGCCTCTCCATACATGCCAGAACAGGGAGGGACTGAAGCCCTTTGAGGCATCAGGAGGGTGGAAGGAAGGCTGCTCTAGGGAACCACTCCTCTGGTCTGCTTTCCAGGGCACACCCAAGGCTGGGACATCACAAGCTTTGGAGCTCCTGCCTGTCAGTTAGAGATGAACTCTAGTATGGAAATGAACCCCTGGGGTCTCCCTTGTTTGGGGCCTTCTTCTCCATGGGGAGTGCAAAGGTGACTCCCAGTGTTTTCCCAGGACCCACCCCTGCCCCCCACCCCTGGCCCGGAGCTGCCTGCAACCAGAAGCTGAGGGCTGCCTTGTCAAGCGCTTGCCTGCAACATTAATGCGGCACCTACTATGTGCTTTCCTTGGCGGAGATGAGGGAACCAAGAGGCAGGGCCCCAGACTCCACCTTCGAGGCACTTGCCAGTGCCAGTCTGCATTAGCCTGAGGCCAGGGCCCCATAGGGCTCAAACCAACCCCATCAAGGAGTTTCCCAGCTGAGCTTCAAGGGGTTGAGCAGGACTCAGCAAGGAGATGGTCGGGAGAGGTCCTTCCATAAAGCGTCGTGGGAAGTGGCAATAGCACACACAGAAGGGTGTGTTCGGATCCTGGAGGGAGGGTTCTGGGTCAGGCAGAGCGGTGGGAATCCAGTGAAGAGTGAGCAGGGGGCCCTCATGAGGCCTCATGGGGGTGGCCAAGGCATCGAGGACTTAGGCCTAGGGGTACTCATGGATGTGGGGAGCAGCCCCCGTTCGCCCACATGCAGCCAGGGGACTCTTTCCTTGGGGCAGACAGAGAGGCTGGAAGGCTGGCATGGGACAGGCAGCTCTGTACCCCATGAGCTGCTCACCACAGGGAGGTGAGGGGTGGGTGGAGTCATACCCTCCAGGCATAGGGGGAAAGCCTGGCAGGGTTTTGAGGGGTAGAAAGAAGGACAGAAGCC